TATATATATATATATAGTCAATCTCCTTCTATGTCACATCCCTCGGGAATTCGAAGAAGTGGGTAAATTCCAGGAACTGCGACATAGCAGGGCGAACAATAGTAGATGTTAATAAGTAGTATAAAGATCGGTTGACAGTTTTGTGACAAAATAACCCAGATCGATGAAAAGTAGGCTAGTCCCGTTAGTTGTTCCCTATGTTTATAGTTATGAACTGTTGATTTATAACGGAATTGAGATATACCGTCCGGTGTACCTTTGATGTACCGAAGAAATTTAAATCTCTTATGGCGCCCTCAGCTTAATATCGGTACATTGCATGTCGTATTCAGCCCCTTTTCAGTTCTGAGTCTAGGTATCCCGAAACTACCTACCTTTCTTCAGGGGAACTTTTTCTGACCCAATTATCCTATATTCATTCCAGATATTTCTCCATTCCGTTGCAATGTTAGGTTTGTCAAAGAATTAGTTATATGACGTCCATCATGATATACAGCTGTTTTGGCTATAATAATCACATCAGTGTTAACCCATTCAAGGAAAACAAAGGTGAACCAGTTCGAATACAGTGAGGAGGAAATAACATCTAAACTGAGGAAAATATCTGTTGCGGGGTATACTCAGAACATTGACTTCTTTCCCGTATTCAAACTGATTGTTCGTTGTGCAATCTAGTTTTGATTTGCTAATGAGCAATGTATGCCGTTAAAGTCTGTAGACATTTATTCGTTCGTTCGCTTTTGTTGTTACCAGTGTATGTTCAAACTGATTGATGCATTTATCATGACCATTGTTGGTCGGACTAAGTTCAACGCGCGATGCCATAACGCGATTCACAAACCATACCTTTTTCAATTTAAACTGCCCGAGTATCAGTTCGTGATATCATGTTGTTATGTTGATAGTACTCGCGGTTGTAGACGTGGTGTGGTTTCTTGTTCGGGTTAGGTGGGCAAGCGCCAGGTCCCTTGTTCCAGTGACCTATCCGATCGATCGATAAATGAACCCGATCGGTCATGTGATTTTCGGGCCGACACAGGAGGAGAATAAGTTCTGAATCGGATGATGCTTAAGTGTTGGTAGGGGATCACCACAGGAGTATCAGTTGTGGCATGATGCTACATGTGGGAGATCCAGAAGGACAAAGTTTAAGCGATGATGACACTGGGCCAACGTTTGACTCGTCTAAGATACACGCACTATTTTTTAAGCGGGTTCTCGTCCAAATTTTTCGGCAGGCGTGAGACAGAAGTGTACTTGAAAGAAATTCACTCCTGTTCAGTCAACCGAAGGCCATAGATGCCAGCCTACAGGAATTACGGCAATTAACGATTCATAAACTAAAAGTGCATCTGACAAGCTGTCCTCAGATTGGGGTTAGGATGATCTTTGGCAAGTGACCTTTCTAATTTCATCGGTGCTCTAGGACAAGTGAGAGTATCGTTCATTCATGCACGCAGGCGCGTCCGCGCGACGGTGGTTATCGATCGCTCGGATCTGACACGTACGGGTGTACAGACATCCACGCTTTCTTGACCAGATTTATGGCCTTCAGAATGTCCACCTCGGCTTTCACGAACATTTGAAAGACCAAATCACGCCCTGATCCATTGGCGGTAATATTGAAGAACAGTTTGGAGGTAGTCAATTTGACGTCGGAGAATACTGCGGCTTGGCTGGGGCAAAGGACGTTGTCCATAAATAGTAAAATAGAGCGCCTTTGAGAAACCATTTTGCGGTTGACATCATACAGCCAACTGTGAAGTAACGTGGAAGTCATCCATGCGTTCTTTGAAGAATTATAACTACATGGAAGGCTTTTTCTACCTATCTCTCGGAGGCATCGTGGAGTTTGAAACTTTCCAATCACCAACGGTGATAACTTTTCTCCAGTCATACTCTAACAAAGCACTAACGTGACCCTCTCTTTGGATTTCTTGGATCTCGAAACTGTCTTTGCTTTGAGCCTTCATTTTCTTTCTGGGAGTTGCCTGTAATACAAAATTGTTTCATCTTCACTGAAAATATTACAGTCAGAATATCCATGTATCAACTGTGGTTACTCCGCTCGAAACTCGTCCACTGCATCACGTTGTACCACTAAACTTTCCTCACAGACCTATAAAGTAATGCTTGTTGCTTGTTTCTCACTTTGTACGATTGAATACCACACCTGTCTGACCAAGAGCGAAACTAACCTTTGGAAGCCTTGAAGTCATGATCTTTGTGTTAGCTGGATTACCTTCTTACATACGACGCTCCCCACCGTTGGGAACTCTCCGTGTTTTTCCCTCATAGCAGTAAACCAAGCCAAAGTCACCTCATTCACTGCCTTGAACTTTTCGTTGGTTTTCGGGTGGTATCTTTCCTCACATGCTCCAGCGTTCAAAAATTCCCCGATAGTCGTTTGATGGAATACAACATTTTAGACAGTCTGGTGAAATTCCAAGTGATTTGGCTATGGAGCTCTGAGTTGCACCTGGCTGTTTCAGCATTTCCAACATATTGTGCTTCTCTCTGATCGATAAGCGGTTGCACAAGTTGACGTCAAATGACACTGTCTCCAATTCCTTACATCGGTGTCACTTCCTCGCAAGGATTATCCAATCAAGAAACAGTGTCATCAACGCGTCACACTAGGTGCAACGCCATTGGTTGTGTGCGACATTTCAGGATGGATGGTCAATGGTCGTCCCGAACATACGTCCACGACCAAGTGAGTGCGTATCAGGAACTGCGACATATTGAGCGGTGCGACATCGCATAGTCAGAAATCACGTTGTTAAGTATGTGGTTGGTTTGGGTTTTCGAAAAAGTGGGAAGATATTGGAAATTGCGACTTCTCAGGGGTACGACATGGCAGGAGATTGACTATATATATATATAT